AAAAAGGGATGGAAGAGATCGGCACTTGCTAGTGTCTACCAGCCTATCTGCCTCTAATTTGTTGACCTTGGCCAAGCGTCACCAACCCGCTGCCAAGCTTCAGTTTCGAGACACTTTATCTTTTTTGCCGTCTTGGAAATTGCTTCACTTCCAAGAAGATCAGTCGATGGCTGTGTAAACCAGGGGATGTTAGTGAACATGATAAAGAAAACATACCCTTTACCTGTACCACATTCGCCGCAGCCAAGGGACCAAGACCAAAAACCTCGGAACCGATAACTCGAGTGACAAAGGGACCCGCGGGGCTGTGCACTTCCACTGACAGATAGCCCAAAGTGTTCTTTGTTGTTCTGGTTATGTATCCGATTACCCAACAAGCATACGCTAGAGAGAGGTATGAGTTTGGGTATGGGGAATTCGATTGAGGACACTGGTCCAATTTTTTTGTTAGAATAAGGTGCTCAGATGACAGGGACAGGCGTGCACCATGGCCAAGTCCGCCAAACTACCGAAAGTAAACGATATTCTGCTTGCAAGGCAGAACTCGAAGTGCATACTACGCTATATAGGCAAGGCCACAGCTACCACCCTGTGGCAGCTCGGGTGAGTCCCGGAGTGACTTGCTTACTTACCTATGTATGTGAGAGAAAGGCACTGAAAGGCAGTGAGAGGTAGTACAAGCATGAATATGGACAAGCCGAGATAGGTTGCAAATAAACCTTGGACGTCACCGGCGACGGGACTTGTTTTGCCAGGATTATGATATTGATTTGACATGTGGGCATTGGAATGGTGGATGGCTGCTTCCCTCTTGACCCTTTGTTTGAATGGCTACACGACTAGCTCTATGGGTACCTCATCGAGTGTGACATCGAGCATACATACCTAGAAGGTAGCCTTACGTTTTGTGAGGGAGTTAAAGTTGAGATAGCAGAGCAAGATGCTATTGTGAGCAAGGCAATTCCAGTTGCACTCGCTGGGTCAGTGGTTGAACATCGGGCTGTCTTGCATCATGGCCAACAATCAATTACTGCTAGCCGTTGTGAGCAAGCCTACCTTGATCCTGCAGCGAGCGAGCACCTTCTCTGAAACTGAGGGTGACCAAGGGCGTTCAAAAAGTTTGAGATGGTCTAAATTTGGGTCTAACCTATACTACTTCTCATCTCGTGTTTGACTTGCCCTGTGCTATACCTATCTGTTTCATCCTCCGGTACATGGGGCCCTCTGCCTCTGCTCTGGGTATCAATTCTGACCGAGTTTAACCAAACATTAATCTTCTGCCCATATTCTTGCTCATTTTCGTCGAGATCGTAATCGGATATCCCACATCATGTCATCATCTTATACCTACCTGCACCCATCACCACATTCACCGCTTACCCTCCTCCCCCTCCTCCATCACCGCCTTCCCAACCCTCCTATTCTTCCTAATATCCACCACCAGATACACCACACTCAACACCAGCCCGAAAGCCGTCAACCCCACCGCCACCCAGCAAGCCGCCCTGTACCCCTTCAGCAACTCCTCCTTGCTAGTGCCCCCTTTATTCACATACACCTCCGCGGTCGTCGCAAACCCTAGTCCAATCGAGATACTATAGTTCACCACCGTGTTGATCAAACTCGCCGCGATTCCCTGATGTCTCCTCCCCACCGCATTGCTAAGAATCACCGTCGACGCAGGGAAAATCATGTCCATGCCCCACGGGGTGATGACGACCGTCAGGAAGCTCTGGATCCAGTAGTTCTGCTCCAGCGGGCGGGTGGCGAGCAGCATGTTACCCGTAAAGAAGGCGCACATGGCGCACAGGATGGTCCACGCGGGGCCGATCTTGCCTAGCACGATACCAGTTACCACGGCGGCGATCGCGCCCGAAACAGCGACCGGGGAGAAGTAAGCGGTCGTCATTAACCCGGAATCGCCGCGGATTTCGAGGAACCATTGCCAGTTGTAGAACAGCCAGGTGCCGAAGGAGCCCCAGCCGCAGGCCAGACAGCCGAGGACGAAGGCGATGTCGCCTGACTTGAGGGCGTCGAGGGGGAGCAGCGGGTAGGAGGACCAGCGGAGTTCGATCCAGAAGAAGAGGGGGACGAGGAGGATGCCGACGATGAGCAGGACGTACGTGTACGGCTCGGTCCAGCCAACGATCGGGGCCTGGTTCCATGCTACGTTGATGAGGATCAGGGCCGCGACGCCCACGGTGCCGCCGATAACGTCGAGTTGCTTGAGCTTGTCGACGAAGGAGCTGCTGGCTGTATGGGCGTCGACGCTGTCGGGGATGATGAACTGCGCGGCACCGGCGAGGAAGAGGAGCGCGATGGCGAACGACCAGAAGGCCCAGGGCCACCAGGCAAGCTCGAAGACGCCGGCCATGGCGCAGCCCAGCGTGGCTCCGCCGGGGGCCATGGCGCCGAAGAGGGCGAAAACCATGTGCTTGCGTGGACCGTCGGGGTAGCTACCGCCCAGGATGGCGAGACCGTTGGGAAGGAGGATGGAAGGCCCTATGCCTTGGAAAGCGCCTGTGTCATGTAGTCAGTATTTTCATGCGTTTGTACGAGTTTGGAAAGGGGAAAGGAGACAAAACACATACGGCACACAATCATCATGATATTCCCCGAGTCCGAATACACCGACAATCCACAGATCATGGTCCAAACCGCATACCACGTGTACCCGATGACCATCATCCTCTTGTACCCAAACAAGTCACCCAAGCGGCCGCAGATGAGGATAAAGGTGCCGATTGTCAAGGAGTAGGCAGCCAAATACCAAGCAACGTCCGCAGCAGACGTGACGCCGAATTCCCTTCCGATCTCCCGGCCGATGCTGAGTGAGGGTCCCATAGACGCCTGCATGGTGAGCTGGGCGCAGCAGGTGATGCCCACGAAAGCGATCTCGTGAGGCAGCGAGAGCTTGGGCGCCAGGAAGGAGTGTGCTTGGGATTGGGTGCGGGCCAGATAATCATCGCGTCGGCCTTGTGCTGCTGCCGCATGTTCGAGATCGGTTTCCTCCATCTCCCCTTCTGATGATGGACTCAATGAGTCCACTCCCTTCTCGCGGTACAAGCCTTCGGTGGTATTGAGGTCGGCCGGGTGGTGTCCGCCAGACGAAAGGCGTGGTGTTGCTGACATCGTGGCCAGAGCCGGCTATGTGCAGTGATTGTCGGAGTGGTTATCGACTGCCTTGCTTTTCTCTTCCAAGCAAACTATGCTCCCGTAGAGCAAGTGCGACCCGGACTGGATTTCCTGCTGCTCTCGTGCGTTGCCTTCGGTTCCTTCCCAGGGGACGAGTCGTATTCCGGTCAAGCTAACAGCACCTTCCCGTCAACACGAAGTCAAAGGGCTTTGAAGTGGACAGCAAGATCGTTCGGAAATGCTTCACTATACACTGTTATGACCTTAGCTCGGGAGACCAAGTGCGAGAGAGCTTATCTTCACCGACAATGACATTTTAGCCATCTTTGGTGGAGGGAGGGAATAATATAACAAGATGTAAAAGACAGAGATCTCGGCGAAAACCATGACGGATCCGAGCCTCGAAGGATCAATGGTCCCACATAGGATTTTTTTTCCCTCCTAGTGCAGTGCACAAGGGGGAAAAAGGATCACCCAACAGGGAATCCCACCGGTAGGAAGGTGGATCTTCAATGGTCGCCATCATCAGGAACAATTCAAACATTCCCAGGCCGAGACTGGCTCGGCTCCGACCAATTGTGAAATCCTGTGAGTACCGGGATATCGAAATCCCTTTGTGAGAGCAGAGAGGTAGCACCAGCGTTGTAAAACTCCATGGAAGCGAAGCAGTTCCAGACGGCACCGACACCGGGCCTTTATCGCATCAGCTTATCAATCATGACTGATTGCTGAATGTTTGGGAGGAGATGGAGTCGGTCTGTCGTGAATTCGTCATCCTGTTCATGATCTGTGGATTCAGATTCGATAAACGGACAGGACGACCAGAGAGCGGGATGGCCGTTGATTTTCGGGAACTGGATGAAATTTTCCAAGCAGTGATCTGATGGGTTGCTGTTGCTGATGGTAACTCGGGATGCCCGTCGAGAGACAGGACGGTCAAGAGAAAGAGAAAAAGTCCATTCAGGTTACAGGGATGTCGCAGGTCGGCCTAGGCCAGATACGCCCTAAATCCTGGCCCATGCCCCTGATTTAATGGAGCCTCCCGTGCGGCATCATATCCGCTAAAATGGAGTCCTATTTGCAACCGTTGGGTGTCGTCACGATCCACGATCCAGATGTTTTTAATATCTGAAAAACTTAAATTCGATATGGCAAAGATACTGAAGGGCTCCTCGAGGACTCCTGCAGCAGTGTTTGGCATGGTCATCCGCCCTCTTATATCAGTCGATGACGGGGTGGTACCCGCCAGGTGCAGGCAGGTAGACGCGAGTGGCCCGGTACATGCTCCTGTATTGTCGTTATCAAAGCATGCAGGCGAGATGCTAACAAGAGAACACCGGGCATCCGGGTATTGAAGGAATCAGTTGCTCTTTCCTACGACGGGACGAAGACGATCCGGCTCCATCGAAGCGGCTGACCAAAGCATTATAAACTTCTGCCACTCCATTGCAAATCAGCTAGTGTATCGTATGGAGTGCCCGTTTAACGTTGAACAAGCAGGGGACAGGCTTCGTCCACCTCCCCCATGTCCCCAACTACCTCTAGCATCAAAGCGTTGTTATCACCGATACCTCCGAGCCACAAGCGACTTACGACACCCACAAAACTTATATGTCTTGGGGTCAACAACATTTGTGGCCATTCTCCTTTTTTTTTCTCTTTTTTTTGCTCATGTGAGAAGATAAAAGGAGAACAACGAACACGGAGATCACTGAAGAGGCAGGAAGGCAGGGGAGAAGAGATTCAGAGAAAAAAGAATGGGAAAGAAAATTGGAAAAGAAACATACATATCCAGACCAAGAAGGACGAAAAAGAGAAGAGGCATGTACACAAATGAGAAAAAGAAAATCCCCTAGATGCATGCGTGCTTCTACTCCTGAACCCCGGCCACGATATCAAGCGTCAACCAAAGAGATCACCGAATCAGAGTTGACCAACGAAATATCGAAACGTTGACACCTTCGTGGTGTATCAAGGGTCGAAGATGCTGGCCGTGAGCATTGACAGCGATATGCCAATTGAGCTAATGGGAATGAAGATTAAGCCCTATGTAAAAGAGGAGACGCTGGATCTTAGATCTGCCCTCTGTGCTCCGGGATGACTATATCTTTTTGACGTGAAAGGTGTGAACTGGTAGGTAATGCAGGTCTGGTAATGGACTGTCACAGTCGACCCCTTTCCCGTGGATCCTGTCGCTTTCATGTTTGTGAGTCGTCTTTTTGTTCCGAGGTTGTGTTCGTATCATCATCGACGGTGCCTAAAACTTCTTCTTTTTTTCTTGGCGATGCGTTGTGCGAGCGGTGACGAAGCACAGAGTTGATTTAGGGTGGAGTTTGGCTTTCCGAAATCTCATCGTGGGAATGAAGTTGACAATAAAGTATGGACATGTGTGATCGTGGGTTTCTGTTGAAGGTATGCTTCACAGCCCGGTACTCTGCTGGTCGGCATGCTGAAGAAAAATTTGCCGCACAACAGAATCAGATAATCTTGAGTTCCCTGACTTCAAAGATGTTGTACCATGCCTCTCTCGTCTTCTTGACAAGTTCCATGTCCAACGGCCTGTCCTTTAACCCGTCTGACTCTGGGCATTCATACATATATTTTGTAGCCGCCCAGGCCCTTTTGTATATGAATTCCAAATTGTCGACCCAACCTACGCGACGATATAATCCGTCTCCAGCCTCTTTGACTACCATCCCCTTCATTTCCGGATACGAGTCGGTTGGCATGCTCATTACTACCACTAATACCGGCTCGGGATCCTCCATAGTCCCGTCTGTCGTCTCTTCCATCCTTCCGTCAGGAAGATAGCTAGGCAAAAAGGGTCCATCGCGGTTTAAACGCGCGGGCAGGCTGTTTAGGGGAATATGGATGTGATTCCTGCGTATTATTCCCTGGAATTCATTTTCTTCTTCGGAATAGGTCGCGTTTCCCCAGATGATTTTGGCCCTGATGTGTAGACAACCGGACGAAACCGATCCAAACGGTGCCATTATGGGATCGGTAACCTGAACTCGACAATCGATGATTGTGAAGTCGACATCTTCGTCGACAGTGAGTTCGAAGAGGACTTCTCCCCTGACGGAAGCCCACGACCATGAGGGAGCAACATATTCCTTCGACGAATGGTACTTGACCCCGAATTTGTCAAAGTTGCACCACATGAGGGATTGTGGAAAGCTTGATCGCCAATGGCCAGCAAGGTAAGCGTCCGTTTGGTCAATATGTTTTGAGAGAACCTCGGCCATAGCGGAGATGGCATTCAAACGGTCAGCTGGGACCGTGAGATGCCGCCTGCTATATTGTTCCACAATATCCCTCCAGATGTCTTCCAGGGACCATTTTGCTGGGTCGCTGCTCACCCCCTTCCCCGCTTGCGTCTATCTTGCCGAGGACTTTTTTTTTCTCCCAGCTCGGTTAAACCACGGCGCATATCAAATAGCTCTTTGAATCCCATTCGTCCTTCTAAGAACATTGCATGTGCGTAGCCTACTTCGCCCCCGTTGTCTGTGATTGTTGACTTGCATTCCCGACAGTGGTATATTGTCTGCAATCTGCCGTACTCAATGAAACGGGGTGGAAGCAAGAATTCTTGATATGTCCAACCACGCTTATGCAAGGGCTCTCGTAATTTAGTGCTTTCCCCTTCGAGGTGTAAGATGAAGCTGCCCTCATCTCCTTCCTTACTGCGGTAGGGTAGTCGGCAGAATGTATCTCTCAAAATCCGGGGATGAAGAAATCCGTCCATTGAAGAGTCGGCCTGGACGCAACGATCGCGATGATGGACTGGCTGTATATCTGGTGCATCTGCCCAATTTGCTCGACTTTATCCTGTCCATCGTCTTGGATAATACACAAGGCATCTACCCACAGGTACGCTATCCCGAGTGACTGGCAGACGAACACGGTGTCGGCAATAGTTTCAGGTAGGTCTTTGATGTGAAATCGTAGAGAACCTAGGCCTCCTCTCCACAACTCCTTAGTCAATGTTAGTGTTTGCCCCTAGCCCCATTTGTATGAGAGACTCGCATACGGAACTGCCTGGGTATTCTCTGTGATGACAACAAACGTCGAGCTGTTCTGAGGATCCCTTTGGCTGATAACGAGCAGTCGCTTGGGTCTATAAGATGGACCAGCAGTATGCCTGGTGTCACCATGTCCGCGAATACACGTGCATAGCCAGGCGCGGCCGTGATCTAGAGTGTGCTGGCGTGGGAAGAATGTGATAAGGGGATCAGTGATAACTGCGCCTGACTGAGCGGCATCGTCTGTATAAGATAGGGCATTGCCTGTATAAGACAGAGTATGTACTATTGTTAGCAACCGTACGTATTCCGAGATGCGGTTTTTTTTTTTGGTTCTCACGCACCTTCCTCGGCAAGAATGGAATAACCCCGCGGTATTGTCCAGGAGTAGCTTGGAGAGGCTGGCCTTGAGTTATGAATGGAAATTTGCAAGTTTGCTGTTCGAACCAGGCTCCCCTCATAAGATAGAGGACAGGATACAGGTAGAGGTACCAACTTGGCCACAAACATGGCACTAATACCATCACAAGAATATGACTCGGCGAAGGGTTGAAGGCATATTTATCTTCTCGAGCTTTCAAGGCTCGGTCCAGTTCTTTTGCGAGACTGCAGTCTTTCGCAGCCGGTGACCGAAGATCCTTTGGGGCAACATCAAACAAGATGATATTTGTTAGGTCCGTCCGCAGTTTTGAACGCACTTCTTCATATTCTTCGGGATGCGACACGTCAGGCCCCTCGACTCCCGCATGGAGAAGGAACCGGTCTAGCATCTGACGACGGGTCGCTGAGAGTCCCCCATTTTCTTCGCTGTGGTCTATCACGAACTGCTGACAGAAGGCACAGGAATGCGTCAATTCGTCCTGCTCAAGGCTCATAGCGAGAAGGCTGGTGTGAAATGAAGTTGGGGTAGTTGATGAACAGGTGTAGTGGAGGAAGAAGAGAAGAGCCGTAAGGTAAGTTTTCCTGTGGGGTCCCATGTCTTGTAATGTTCCATCGGAAGGAAGGACACTTAGGTTGGGCTCGAGTTGAAGCGAAGATGCCCAGCTATTTCTTGACGGTATGATCAATAATGTACGTACACCCCTGGAAGTTGAGACCGTGTGCATAGTTGCCCAAATGTTCCTCTTGCAGTCAACGAAGAAGAAAGAGCGTCTCGGCGTATGCGGGGACTAACGGATTACAATAAGATTGGATAACAACAACTATCAGGTTTACTTACAGCATCTATTCCTCCAGACTGAAACGCCCCTTTGCCTGTAAGCTATGTACCTGACCATGCGCCGAAGTTAAACCGTAAAGTTGACAGTTGATTAGAAAACGTATTGGCAAGATCCCGTCAAAGCACCCATCCCAAACTCCGCTATATGCCACTCCCAGAGCATCTGGCCTTGCTCTTATCGGCCTTGACGCCTTCTCGGTCTTGTTTATGATGGTAGACCAATTCTGTTACCGAACCATTCTTGCTGTTGTCTCATGGACATCACCGAGCCAACATCTGAATGTTAGTTCATCACTGCCTCGAACTAAGCCTGTGCCTGTCCCTCTGCGCCTGGGCCCTTGTCCTGCTTTCTTCCTCTCTCATGATCTCTAAGGCCTGAGCTAGCGGCACTCTCGCCAACCCTCACTTCGTCCTCCGGCACACCAACCGCGACGCTGCTGATTGCGCTGACTATTCTCGGTCGCTCCGTTCTTGCCGTAGAATCAGCATCTCTCGGCGCAGCAATGCTGACACCGCCGGTGGCAGCAGTACTAGCTGTAACACTAACGCTGGCAGTGGTACTAGTACTATCGCTCCGGGTCCGCGGTGCTAGTGAGCCTGCGCCGCCTTGGCTTGCGCGGCTAGCATCACTAGCCCGTCGCTCGCGGACCATGCGTTCCAACTCCCGGACTCGTCGTTTCAGCGCCTCATTCTCTCTCTTCACATTCTCAAGTTCGCCACGATAGAAGGCGGTCTCCTCAAAGCGAGGGGTTCCTGGCAAGATAGCCGGGGAATGCTCACTGGCTGGGACCGATCCGGAAGTTGCAGCCATTGAATGATATGCGCCGGACATACGATGGGCAAAATAGTTGACTGTGGAGGGATCACTGGGGTTCGACGAGGGCGTGAAACTATGCGTTGGAAGAGCGCCCGAGTAGTTGCCCATGAAGTGAGCCGAGGATGGCGAGCCTGCCTGACTCCGTCTGGAAGCAGCACTATTTTGCCTGCTTAAGCTGGTACCGCCTATGGGGAGAGGTTGGGTCGGACGGATCGGGGCAGGCGAAGAGATACCGGCCAGTGATGCTGAGACAGAACCGGCGTTGGCTGTGAGGCTGCGCGTGCTGGCGCTAGAAGATGTACGATGGTGCATGCTAACACGGTGATGGGACAGTCCTGGAGCACCGGATCCAACATACGCGTCGCCAATGGGTACCGACTCAGCACCTGAGGCGCTAGCTGAAGCCGAGGATGCGTTCGAGATTACCGATGCATTCGAGACAACGGATGCGTTCTGGGCAGCGCGGAGCATGCTGAGTTCGCGGCTGAGGCGGTTAACCTGCACCCACGCAAGAACCGTTAGCTACCGAGTATCGGAGTTATTGGAGGAAGGGTCAAACATACAACTGCCTCTTGTTCCTTCTCCAGTTGCAAATGCAGATCAGCGGCGGTAAGAGGACGAGGATGTCGTGTTGGTCCCAGACCACTATCAACGCCTGCGTTGTCTTTCATGGGGATGCTGGCAGGAAGGTAGTGAGGAGAAGGCAACGGAGGTGAGGATACAGCGTTGTTGACGGCGGGCTGGTTTGAAGGAAGGATGTTCAGAGCGGGCGAGTTGGGTACTGGAGGGGGGGCCATTTGCTGTGAAGCTGCTTCGGAGCCTGTTTGGCTTTGCGAAGCCGTTTGCGAGGATGCTGTTTGAGGAACTGTTTGCGAGGACATGATAATGCTAATCCGTATCGAGGAGGGGTTTAGAGCAGGATACGACACAGAGAGCCTGGATTTGAACAGACGGGATGGCGGATGGCGGATGGCGGATGGCGGATGGTGGGTATCGGCCAACAACTGAAGTGAACGCAATGAGTCTGATATCAAAGGGTAACCGGAACTGGTGTAAGTCGGATGGATCTCCAAAGTCTTATATTCTCAACCACTAGCACCCTTCTTCCGGCAACACCGAAGAAAACAAAATGAAGGGTATAGGCAGAGACAAAGCCTTTACCGCCTCAATAAGAATTCCAAAATTTGTTGATTTCGGATTTGGCACTGTTTGATGTTGCGAGATTGGGACTTGCGACTTGCGACGGCCTGGGCTCCAGCGTCAACCAGATAAAAGGGGCATGAAACAAGATACGCACGGGTCAATTTTTGAAAATTGGCAAAACCGCAAGATTGGTGGCTGTGGGATGGAGTGTCGGGCGACTGCTCTCGTAGTTTGTTTCGAGTTGATGAAGCGAACATGTAGGCGTGATCGTGACCGTGTTGTTGCAGTCAGTGGACGGTTGGTTGTTCAGTGGATCGCCGGAGCCGGTGAGCTTCAACGGCACCACCTCACCTGATGGAAATCATTGGTGGGGCAGTCACCCCTATGAAACAGCGGCCATGCCTGCCGAAGATGCGATGAACTGAGAGCTTCCCCGCCTTTTTGCCGGCCGGCAAGAGGCTCTGTTGCCTGGACCCACTCAGCTCCCAATGATGTAATGGCTCGCCAGTGCCAACAATGACGGAAGGAACATAGTGATTATCAATGACATGGGACGGACCTGCCGCAAAACCACAGCAGGATGGACAAAACGGCATCTCGATATGCGAGGTACCGGGAAAGGTACCGATTGCTGATGTCAAGAGCGGGGTTCTCTCGAATGGACGTGGCAGGTAAGTAGGGTACATATAAATCGTCTTCTTTCTTTTCCTCAGGAACCCGTGAAGTCTCTCACTGCATTAACACAACCTGTGAACTTTCCATCCAACAACCAACATCAACACAATACGTGAGTCTACTTTGTGTGGTTTGATCGAGCCAGTCCCTCGTAACGGGTTACTAACCGTTTAACAATAGCGTGTAAACACAACCTCTTTAACACAACTCCCCCAAAAACCATCCATCATGCCTTCCGAAGGACCTGAGCGCGGCCAGTCCCCCCCTCCCGAGCGCCAGACTGGCAAGCAGCAAAGCGCTGTTGCTGGTTCCGGTACCGGAGTCGACGACGCTTCCAACAAGGAACAGATCAACAAGTCTGGTCTCGAGGTACGACCCCGAGCCTTTTGACGTTTGTGCACAGCTCTCTCTCAGCTGTAACTAACATGGCTTCCAGAACCTCACATCCAACCCCAAGGGTCCCCTAGACGACGAGGTCGAGAGAAAGTTCGCCAAGACGAGCAAGCCTGAGGAGTCAAAGTAAAGAGCACATGGGAAGCTTAATGGGATACAATGATTCATGATTTGGCGTTGGGAATCTTTTCTTGGGATTGGGAAACCGATGCTGCCGCGAGAAGCGACGTAGCAGCTTGTTGAAGATTGGCCAATTGGTCGATTTGAACAACAACAAATAGAGCACGGATGATCCGATAATCAATTACTTGTTCTATGCACTTGTGCCCATCACGAACCTTGCTACAATCTCAAATTGCCCATGCTGACCTACGGTATTGTCGACATCGGCGTCGACGTTGTGGGGTGCAAGCTCCTATCATTTTGGCACCTGAGGTCCTGCCAGTGACGTTATGTCTTGGGGACATTGGGACGACGTAGGGATCATACGCTTCAATTAAGGCGCTGTGCTGTGGACATAGGATGCATCCACTTTGCCCGTGCTACAAACTACCTCCGTACCTAGAATGAAAGTCAGCAAAGACACTCCAAGAAGCCACCTTCACATACCATAACATAGCGATGTGCAATTTCATCCCAAACTGAACGGAGACGGAGGCAGCCTGCTCAAACACCGTCGTCACTTCCATCCTACAATCTCCAGCTGGAACTGGAGGAAGGGGACCCTTTGCCCCTGCTGTTTAACTTCCTGACGTGTCTTGGCATTGGAGCTTGGCACCTTCTGGCCCGCTCTGGCCCGCTACAAGCGACTTTCATGGTGTTCCCTTTCTTCGCACAGCCACCCTGGATGGCCCCTCGATCATGCGATGACGACATGCCTGGTCGTCGTGTACCCCTCCTTCCGCCCATGGCTTCTCCCACATTCTCCCTCGCTCCAGCCTGTGACATTCCCCAAGCTAGGTTTGTCGTGAACCAGTCAAGTCCATTGCCCTGTACTTTTTACACATTGGGCAAGCGTTGTCCATCATCTGACGAACCCTTTGTACATAAGACCACTCGGCATCGATCTCCTCCCAACTTTTGCTTCTGTTCTTGGCCCTACTTATAATCTCTCCCCATTGCCAACCAAACAAACAACATCAAACACTTTGACCATAACAGTTCTCAATACCCACCAAACCACACACACACACACGCATAAACAACTGCAACCATGTCTACAGTCTACGTCAAGAACATCGGTGCCAAGACCGAGGATAAGGACATCCGTGCCTTCTTCAGCTTCTGGTAAGCTTCGCATGCGACAGAAAGAAGGATGACATGAATACAAGCTAACAAATGAACCTGAATCAGCGGCAAGATCAGCTCCCTCGAAGTCACCACCGAAGGCGAGACCAAGTCCGCCTCCGTGACCTTCGAGAAGGAGACTGCTGCCCGCACTGCTCTTCTCCTCGACCACACCAAGCTCGGCGAGCAGGAGCTCTCGGTCACCTCTGCTTCCGGAGAGCACGCTGATTCCGGCGATGACGTCCACCACAAGTCCGACGCCGACCGCGACACCGACGAGATCACACAGGAGGAGAAGCCCCGCTCGCGCGTCCTTGCCGAGTACCTGGCCAACGGCTACCTCGTTGCCGACAGCGGCCTGAAGACTGCCATCGCCCTCGATGAGAAGCACGGCGTTTCTCAGCGCTTCCTGTCGACGATCCAGAACCTCGACCAGAAGTACCACGCTACCGACCGGGCCAAGACGGCCGACCAGAGCTACGGCATCACTGCGCGGGCTAACTCCCTGTTCAGCGGTCTCTCATCGTATTTTGAGAAGGCCCTGGAGGCTCCCGGCGCCAAGAAGATTGTCGAATTCTACAACACCGGCGCCAAGCAGGTGCAGGACATCCACAACGAGGCCAGGCGCCTGGCTGAGCTGAAGAAGGAGGAGGCCGGCGGCAGCTCATACAAGGCTGCTGGTCTCGACAAGGTCTTCGGTGCCGAGAAGGCCGGTCAGGAGGGCAAGCCCAACGACCAGGTGCCCGGCGGTGCCCCTTCTGATGCCGTTGCGACCGAGTCTAACCAGCAACCTATTGCTCATGGAGCGTACCCTGGAACTGCCGAGAAGATTCCCCAGTAAAAGGATGGCCCGAGGCGGAAGGGAGGAAAATGACCGGTTGATGACTCGCTTGTCGTATGTCTAGCTATGCCAGCAAGGTGTTGGCTTTCGGTGTGGCTGTTTTCATGACACTTTTATGACTGGCTTTGTGATTGGGGTTTTCATTGTTGGCGTTTCTTTAGTATTTAAATAAGTAATGAACGAACTTCTCAACATGCAAAGCTGTTGACAGGCATCATTGTCTTGACGCATAATGACGGTGAAAGCAATGTTTGAGCAAGAAGGATGATCCAACATCACAAGTGAATGCGCCTTGTACGTGGCGCTTGCTGATGCCCTCCCAAAAAAAATTTTAGTTTTTTTTTTTAAAAAAATTTTAGTTTTTTTTTGTTTTTTTTTTAAAAAAAAAAACTTTTTGTTCTCCGACAACCGGCCGTATGAGACGTCGCCGTCATACTTAAAACATTGTCGACCAACAGTGGGGCTAAAGGAATTTGGCATTACGTCGATTAGTCCCGTCCAGACATTTACCGCGATACGTTCATAGAGGTTACGCATGAAGTCAACTCAACTACATTGTTGTCTGACTTCAATTCTCCACAGAGTAACTGCTTGGAGCACAGTACGCGATAACACCGGTGCCATCCGGAGCCTCCCGTATTAGCCTGTCCGTCCTGTTTTCCAGTGTGCTGTTGTCCAATCGATGAGGTATGCCCTGTAAGCCATGTGGTCGGTCGGTCGGTCGGTCGGTCGGGAGCCGAGATGCTCCATGCTCTCTAAATCCGCCCGAGACGCCCATTATCCTCCATCATACCCCGCTGTTCTTTTTGAGTGACTCTGTCCCATGGCTCCTTCTCTCGCCCACATGGTAGAGGTATCTTTGACTCGATCCGTCGTGGTGGTGGTTCCCATCTGCCGTAGACTACCGAAACCACCAATTCACACTCCCATTAATCCCCCCTTCCTCGCCGCCCTCCTCGCTTTTAACACTATGCCACCACCCAAGCGGCATAAACAACATGTCCCCCGCCCGCACCGTCACCTCGTACATCATCTCATCAGCATAACCCTGCCCCAGCCCTTGCTGCTCCTGCTCCTGGCCCTGTCCCTTCGTCCCGCCGTCAGGACCGCCAGGACCAGTTCTTCCAGTTCTTCCAGTACCACCCCAAACAGCCCTCTCCAAAACCCTCCTCTGCTCACCCTTCATCATCTCATCCCCCCTCATCCTCGGGTTCCCAGCCGCCAGCAACGAAGCCATGACCCCCCGAAACAGCGCCTCGCCCCTCTTGGGCGGCATCAGCCGAAGCGTCTTCGTCCCGCATAGCTGGCAGAATAGGTTCGGGTTCGGGTCTCGATGCCACGGCGTGTAGGTCGGCTGTAAACCGAGCCAGATGCTGGAGGAGTAGATGTCGCCTTTGCCGGCGTGGGACACCAGAAGAGGGGTGGGGAGGTCGGATTGCAGGGGAGAAGGGATGTGGGAGAGAGGGGCTTGGGCTATGTAGAGGTTTGTTAGGGGTTTACGATCATGGGAAGGTGCGGTGGAGTTGAAAGGGGGAGAGGGGGAGGAGAGGGAGGAGTTGTATTGGTGGGCGAGGAGGATGAGGTGCAGGGGGAGATCCAGGATTAGGAACTCGGACTCTGGTGATGGGGAAGAGGGGTGGTGGGAGATGTAGGTTTTTAGGAGGTGGGCTAGGACAAGACGGGATTGGGAGTCTGAGTCGGAGTAGGAGTCGGGGTTTAAGTCGCTGGATGTCGCTGTTGAGGAGGACTCAAGCCAGGATATGAAATCCAAGACCTGGGCTGAGTTTGGGTTGGAGAGTTCATAGGGGAGAATGGTAGACCGGAAGTTGTCCAGGTAAGGAGTTAAGGAGGCCTTTCCCGAGGTCGAAGAGGTGGTGAACCATTTAGTTAGGGCGGGTAAAGTTGGCGACGTCGAAGAAGTGCTGGTTTCGGTATCGGCGGTATCATTTTGCTGGTCAGTAAAGAGTATCGAGCTTGGTCGTATGAGAAGAGGCTTTTGAGCATGAAATGCATCTCTTCTAAAGTCCTCTATGCTAACTGGCGCAACCGCCTCTACGACTGTTTTGAGACCCCTCCTGGCATGACGATGGTTGGTGAAGATGAAGGCCGGTTGCCAAAGGTGCCTCGCCGACCGTGACTCAAACAGCCGTGTTGGCCTTGAACTGGGGAGTGGCTTTCCTCCAAGAAACATTACAAGTAAACAGAGAAGAAAGACATGACAGAAAACCAACCAGGTCACATTCGCAAGTGGAAGTTCTCCCAGTTGATCGACCGATGAGACGGACAGAGAAGGTACGTACCTTTCTCGAACATCACCAAGTGGGCCCTTTGATAAGATAAGCGGCTAGGTTCAGACGCACCCGGCTGCGCGCGCATGTGGCAGGCGAGGCAGGGTTATGTGAGAAGGCGGAAAATTCAGGCATCCCACTACGTATGGGGCTTGGCGCGGGGCTGCTCCCTGCGGCAAGGGTTGAAAGAGGAGAATTGGGAGGGCCCAGACTGGAAAGACGGGAGGCCGCACAGACCAGGCGCCCACCAGTGGGCTTCCCTGTAGCACGAAATGAGGGCGGGCTTCAACTCGAGCAACCCAAAAGGCAAGTGGACGACAAGGAAGAAACACAGCCATCGAGTCGACAGCCTCCGTTAGCGCAAACTCCGACAAGGCAGCACAGAAACCACCAACCACCTCCCTCGCTGCAACACCAAGACAATCATTGAAAGCGCCTAGCAGATCTGTCTGTCCTTTTGTCCATCTGTTTGCGCCATCCTATGCGCTCGGTCATGTTTACGCAATAAAGAATTGAAACCCCCCCTCCCCCCATCCAGCATCGCAGAGAGCGTCGGCCCCAAAACGGACACGAGCTACACCAAAATCGCCTCGCGCCTTTCGAATCGCACTCATCAGATAACGCCCGATAGAGGTACCAGCAGCCTCATCGAACCCATACTCCGGCACCAAACACTCGAATCTTTTTCGTGGCCGCTTCCATATCCCAATTCCACCATGTCGAGCTCGTCGGGCGTGCCAGAGTCTTGGATCGCATCCTTCTGCTCCCTACTGGGACACGAGTATTTTGCCGAAGTGTCGGAGGAATTCATCGAAGATGACTTCAACCTTACCGGCCTACAGACCCAGGTCGCCATGTACAAGGAGGCTCTCGAGGTATGCCTATTCTGGAACCTTCTTGTCCGACTTCGGCACAGCTAACCATTGCGGTTTCCACCTGACTAGATGATCCTTGATGTCGAGCCCGAGGACGATGATGACGAGGAGGAGGAAGACGAGGAGGATGAGGAAGACATGTCCGGTGGCGACGGGATTAACAAGCCCCATGGCGAAAGGAGACACCACAGCCGCATCGCGAGCGACCTCTCTGTGATCGAGTCCTCGGCCGAGATGCTGTACGGCCTGATCCATCAGCGTTTCATTTGCTCGCGCGCCGGCATCCAGCAAATGTCGGAAAAATACGAGCTAGGCCACTTCGGCATCTGCCCGCGCACAAACTGCAACCAGACCCGGACGCTGCCCGTCGGCCTCTCCGACACACCCGGCGAAGACACGGTCAAGCTGTTCTGCCCGTCGTGCCTGGACGTCTACGTGCCACCAAACAGCCGCTTCCAGACGGTCGACGGCGCCTTCTTCGGCCGCACCTTTGGCGCGCTCTTCCTCATGACCTTCCCCGAATACGACCTGACCAAGACGGGCGCCGAGAGCGTCAGCAACCTCACAAGATCCGGCTCTGACGACACCACCGTCATCAACGGCATGTACGCGCGCAACATAGCCCCGGGGCTGGGCCGGGGCAAGATCTACCACCCCAAGATCTACGGTTTCAAGGTGTCGGAGGTGGCGCGCTCTGGGCCGCGCATGCAGTGGTTGCGCAGCAAGCCTGACGACCTGAGTGTGCTGGACGAGGCTCGTCGCTATGCGGAACAACAAGGGTCGGATGACGAGGACGAGACCATGGGGGTGAGCAGCAGGACAGCGTCAAGGCGGCGGGGGCCCCCTAGGAGGCAAAAGCAGAATGGGAGTCCGATGGCGGTCGAACAGAATGGGGGTGAGTCGGAGCTTTGAGGATTGGGGTTAGGTTGGAAGAATGGGACTTGGGTTTGGCTGAATATGGAAAAGGAGGAACGGGTTTTGTAGGTATGGAGTAAGGGATTGTGTGCGCAAGCAACTGGACAACGGGCTGTCAATCACATTTTTTTTGTCACGTCTCCCTCTAAACCTGGCATTGATTGGTGGTATCATACCCAACTTTATGCTGGCATTTTCTCCCCCCTTCTGATTCTCTCTAAGTCATGTTGGTTGGTCATGAGGACGGATGGACGGGTTTAGGAATCGGTTACTATCCCTAGCTTGCAAGAGCGGTTCTTTTGGTTGGGTTGGGGCTGTTTTTATATCAAGGTTGACTTTTTTTTTTTTTTAGAGCGGACTCGGGACGTGGTACGCATCATTTCCAATGATCATTGCATGCCGATTATAGAGAAAGACAGGAGGGGCACAATATTGGTTGTTTCCTCACATGGTATACCAGTCAGTTCATAACGCAATTTTTTACATCCTTCATCTTCATCTTCTCACCTCACTAATACACGGACACGGACAGCATGAAATTCTCCTACTTAGTGAGTTCCCAAGCAGCTTGTTGTGGCGGTCTTTAGGTCCATCACAATCTAGCCAGGGGCATGAGAAAAAACCACCCATGCAGAAACGACCAGCACCTTACCTGCTTTATATTTGGGGCACTCCCGCCAATATCTCGTCCCACCTCTATCGGCCGTTGGATTGGCATTTCACTCGTTTCTTTAATGACCTCGGATTGTGATTGCGTCTTGGATTGCGCCTTCACAGATGATCCGGAAGCCATTGAGGCGGATCATTACCAATGTCTTGTAAACACCAGATACTTTGGTTCGACATCGTCAGGTTTTGGAGAGCAATTTCTTGGTGTATTATTAAAACATCAAGCCCGAGGTTAGTAAGGCCAGCAAAAGTTGCCCTTGAGTCAAATGCTCATACATTTCCAGAAATTTGATAAACCTACCGTTCGTATGCGACACCGACGGTATGGCCTGACCTAATCGGCTTGTATTCCACCTCCACCCTCTGTCCCTTCAGCAAGCATGTGAGAATCAAAAGCGAGAAAGAACCGAGGGAAAAGAACCGCGTTGTTCAACATAGAAACATATCTTGAACTGGCCAGAACCTTCGAAATCGGGAAAGTGCTTAACTCTTCGACCAATGTGTTAAGGGTAGGTACGTGAGAGGCAGAGTTCACGTCCCTTACCCATTCATATTCGGGCCCGGCTCCCGTACCGGTGGTTTGTTGGTGGTTCGTCACGGTACTGTATCAAAGGGGTTGTTTATGCCAGGTGTGAGTGAGTGAGTGACTTAACGCTCCAACTTTGTGACCAAACCGCCCATACCTCTATCACGATGACAGCTGGAAGACACCGACTGCACGATTCCGTACACATGGAAAAATAATTGCACAAGGCACAATCACAAACCAAACCTTAAACTTGTCTGACTACAACCTCGTATTTGAGGGTTACATGCCCAGGGCATGCTTCAACACCTGGTGCTTCGTCGACTGAAGTTATGTCGTGGACTCGTGGTCCCGATAAACATCGGCGGGCCCGTCAACTCCATTCCGTTCCGGAGGGACGGTCGGCAGAAACCCCACCCTATTCCCCGCCTCCGTGCGGGGCCGTAAGGGGCCGTAAAAGACCCGCAAAAAGTCGGAGCTTATCAGCCGCCGGCCCACCGGGTCGTTCCGAGTGGGGGGCCGAAACGGAACCACTGGATCTCCACGATTCCATGAAACACGAAGCGATAACGGGTGGACGATAGGCTGGCTGCCGTCACTACTTCATCAACTATGGGTGTGCAGTGCGTGCATGAATGACGGGTTCGGTGTTACAAAAGGCTGGCTGGCTGGCTGGCTGGCTGGGGCGCCTCCCTTCCCTTCCCGAACGGTAACGGCAATCGTCGCGAAATTGCATGCTCCTCTTCTGTTGCGACATAAGAATAGTACAGTGCAAAGTTGTTACATACTTACCTTTTCGCTGAAGGCAGGAAGGAGGGGGTTTAATTATTTTGGGATAATGCTCTCTTGCTGGTTGTGGATTTGATGGAGAGATGGCTGGCCGGTATAGCAGGCAGGCTTCGTTGACTGAAGCAACATGATTTGATATACGGTGAGAGCTCGAGATCTTCACGTCTCAAGTCTTGATATCGATTTCACTTGCTTGACCGCAACCGCCATGACCCCCAGCCCCATGCACACGCATAGTACGATACCGGCGCTAAGTAGAAGATGGACGAGAACTTGGAGATAAGAGAAGAGAGGCCTGGGGAGAAAAAAAAAAAAAAAGACGGTCAAAACTGAGTGAACCAAAGCAACTCCGATCCATTTCGTATTTGTAATCCAGGAGGAACAAACAAATATCAATACCGGTCACGGCAGGACCATTTAAGGCAGAACTTCGGATAACGACATTTAACCATTGAGAAGCCAAGACAGGGACACAAAGTTGGGTGTCTCCACAGGGGGGGGACTAGGCCCGCTGATCCTATCCCCAGCTCGCAGTTGGATTTCACATCTGGGAGTGAAAAGAAAAGAAAAAAATTGGACGGGAAAAAGAGAACCAGAGTAGGGTGTGAACAAACCTTATTCGAATGGTTGGAGAAATGAATATTGTGCGCGTGGGAGGTAGCGCATGATATCGACGGTTGAACTCTGGATTAAAGAGGTTGAATATGCCATGATAAATGCGGGCGGGAGGTACGTGTGAGTGACACAGAAATGGAAGCAAGTAGTGCAGAGGTAGGCAAGACGAAGGCCGCTGCGCGTGCCGTCCTGTACATATAATGCACGTAATGTACTATATCTTGGTCAATTAAAGATGGCTGTTGAGATGCATGAGGATGTGTAGCATGGCCGACGTGTGTGAGTGAGGAGCCGCTCCAGTCAAAGATCTCTTTTTGTGGGCGGGGTTCGTTCAAATTGGGCCACACGATCATGATGGGCGGGTGCGGGTATGTAGAGGATATCATAATGATTCATTGTGGTGTAGAATTATTCAGCAGGGGGAGCTGGGGCCTGGGAGGGGACACGATACCTTACGGTCAAGCAAGCAAAAGAAAAAGAAGGTGGGAAAGAGCGGTCATTTGAGTCACTCGCCGACGACTTGGACTTGCACTTTGTCACCCCTTGCGTCTTCCGGGTTTTCACTCCTTCGAGTTTGCCCATCATTGAGCTTCCAGAGCAACAGACATTCCTGATAATAGGTGACCATTGCTGGAACCTTCACTTTTGGACGGCCGGGAGACGAGTGTCTGGAAATGGTATCACTCTGGACACGAGAGAAGCACATGGTGGTGTTTCGGGACCACCACCGTTCAAAGGAAGGATCCCATGTGATATTGGCCAATGGCATGTCATGTTTGCGACCCCGTCCCCCACATCCGACAGTGGGAAAAGGCGTCGGGGAACGGCCCCCTCTTTTCCGCTGTGCTGTTTGTCGCCCACCAGACAACTGCAGTGCAATGTGCTGTGTAGCGCGATAGGGTACGTTCCTAGCTTACTGCAATTCGGTCCTCAGCCTCCCAGAACGGCAATTCCATATCTTGGCGCTTAATTGGAACCTTTTGTTTCCGGCTTCATTTCCATTCTTTTTGTTGTCTATCCGTCGTCAATTCTCCCCGGAGTCCCCCCGTCTTTTCAAAAAGGTTGACGAGATCCCCATCGTCTCCACGCTGATACGAGGAGCTAGGCAATGGGAAAGTACCATACACGATATGTACTGTACCTGAAGGAAAAGGCTCCGGATGTTTACACTGGTTGACTAGAGAAAGGCGGTGGTGATATGCCGAGATTCCATCAGACCAACCAGCTCCTACGCTTGACATGGATTAGGTTTCATCGAATCCTCTTTTTATCGGTGAAAGAATCAGAGTTTGCAGCTGGAAGATTTGGAGTGCTCCTCCCATTTGTAATCGCAGTAGTTGTCGGAGATGTACCTGCCCCAACTAGTGTGAGTTGGTGGAGCCTCCGATGAGAGGGTCGGGTCGGGAATGGACGACAAAGACGGGAGGCGTTGATCCGTTGATCCAACCGATTTGATATCGAACATTTCAATCATCCTCACACAGATTTTCACAGACAGAGAGGAAACATCCAGTCCTCGCCATCGTCACCTTGTCCCGTCACAAAAGAACGAAGGAGGAAAAATGGAATACCATAATTAAAGAACACGGGCTACGACGACTTTACGTATTTCCGCAGAATGTCCCCTTGGCTTGCATCTGGTTCGGCTGGTACCTGACCAAGTCGACGTCGATTGGATCTCCCCGTCGCCAAGAAGCGCCGATGACACTGCAATCCCCCTTTGCCCCCCAAGCTCCCCCGGCCCTCCGTTGGTTTGTCACCAGCAAAGAAATATAGGATGCCGAACTAACACAGTAGCAGAAAAAAACCCTTGCCCGTTACATGGGCGACATGGTGCCGGATGTGCCATTGCAGACCAAAAGGGTCTAGCCGGTCCATGGCAGGTCCGAAGCAACTCGATAGAACACTTTTGGCCCAAAAGACCTTTTCCAAATTTATTCCTTTGCTTCCCCCCCTTCTCCCGTTGCCGGGAATCAGTTCCTGCTCTTCTCTGCATCACTTTGTCATCGTCCTGACAGGCGAAGAGTGTGGCACATAGCCCTTCCAGCCCATACCTTGATCGACCAACCTCCTGTGGTTGCGCTCGTTTGGTTTGGACCAAAGGCTTTCCATCCCTTCTCATCAATATTTTCCTACTGCCTTGAGCTTTCAACCCTTAATTCTCATCATCCACCTAGTGTAATCTTCATCATCGAGAACAGTGAGTGACCTTCCCTACCCTTTCCAGTCAAGGGGAAATCCGAAGCTGTAACAATCAAAGGTCCTCGCTTCATTACAAGAATAACTGATTCTTCTACGCAACAGTTATATCCGAATTGTCCTTTTCCAACAGTCCAGATGGACTCAAACACAGCTGGGCGGAGGCCCAGCATCGAAGGGCCCAACCCAACCGAACCGCCATCCACAAGTGCCTCCTCAAGGACTCAGGATATCGAGGAGCTTCGTGAAGAGGCTCGCCGCAACAACCCCAATGGCCTCAGCCGCGCCATCTCCGGCATCTCTGTCGAACAGGCTGAGCATGACTTCCGCGAGCTGCGAAGGGAGTTGTCTCGCGCGAGTCGCACTCAGAGCCATACCAACAAGTCACACCACGGAGACGCCGAGAAGGGACAGATGCATACCGAAACCTCATCCGAGAGTGCGCCTGAGCAATTCGACCTCGAGGCTGCGCTACGTGGCGATCTGGAGGCAGAGAGGGAAGCCGGCATCCGCCCAAGCATATCGGTGTCTACTGGGACGACTTGACTGTGAAGGGTATTGCTAGTAGCACTAACTTTGTCAAGACGTTCCCCAACGCCTTTATCGACTTCTTCGATGTCGTCAGTCCTGTGGTCAACATGTTGGGTCTTGGCAAGAAGATGCCCGAGGCCACCTTGCTGCATAACTTCAGAGGTGTTTGCAAGCCTGGCGAGATGGTTCTTGTTCTTGGAAAGCCCGGCTCCGGATGTACCACGTTCCTCAAGAACATTGTCAACCAGCGCGATGGATACACGTCTGTTACTGGTGATGTCAAGTATGGAGCCTTCAGTTCTGAAGAGTTTCTTCAGTATCGTGGCGAGGCTGTCTACAACATGGAAGAGGATATGCACCATCCCACTCTTACTGTTGAGCAGACTCTTGCCTTCGCTCTTGACGTCAAGATCCCCGGCAAGCTGCCCGCTGGTATTTCCAAGCAGGATTTCAAGGAAAAGGTCATCACAATGCTTCTCAAGATGTTCAACATCGAGCACACTCGCCACACCATTGTCGGTAACCCCTTCGTACGTGGTGTCTCTGGTGGTGAAAGAAAGCGAGTTTCCATCGCTGAAATGCTCATCACCAACGCTTGTGTTTTGTCTTGGGACAATAGTACCCGTGGTTTGGATGCTTCGACCGCTCTCGACTTCGCCAAGGCGCTCCGTATCCAGACGGATCTGTACAAGACGACCACCTTCGTTTCGCTCTACCAGGCTTCGGAAAACATCTACAAGCTCTTCGATAAGGTCTTGGTTATTGATGAGGGACGTCAAGTCTACTTCGGCTCTACTTCGGAAGCCAGGGGTTACTTTGAGAGTCTGGGCTTCGCTCCGCGTCCTCGACAGACCACACCCGATTACGTTACTGGCTGTACCGACGACTTCGAGCGCGAGTACCAAGAGGGCCGTTCGCCGGAGAACGCACCACACAGTCCGGAAACACTGGAGGCGGCGTTCAACGAATCCAAGTTTGCTCGGGAACTGGAGCGTGAGATGGCGGATTACAAGCAGTCACTCGTTGAGGAGAAGGATAAGTACGAGGATTTCCAGGTCGCCGTTAAGGAACAGAAGCGAAAGGGCGCTGGCAAGAAGTCGGCTTACTCCGTTGGATTCCATCAACAGGTCTGGGCTTTGATGAAGCGCCAGTTCGTTCTCAAGATGCAAGATCGCCTTGCCCTCGGCCTCTCGTGGCTGAGGAGTATCGTGATTGCCATCGTTCTCGGTACCCTCTATCTCAACCTCGGTAAAACCTCCGCCAGTGCGTTCAGCAAGGGTGGTCTCATGTTCATCTCTCTGCTGTTCAACGCTTTTCAGGCCTTCTCAGAGTTGGCAGGAACTATGCTTGGACGAGGTGTTGTCGAACGCCACAGGCGTTATGCATTCCATCGTCCTTCAGCTCTTTGGCTCGCTCAAATCTTCGTCGATCAGGTCTTCTCTGCGTCCCAGATCCTGTTGTTCTCCATCATTGTCTACTTCATGACGAACCTGGTCCGCACTGCTGGCGCCTTCTTCATCTTCTATCTCATGGTTCTGTCCGGCAACATTGGCATGACTCTCTTTTTCCGTATCATCGGATGCGTGAGTCCCGATTTCGACTATGCCATCAAGTTTGCGGTCGTCACTATCACCTTCTTCATCACCACATCTGGCTATCTGATCCAGTATCAGTCAGAACAGGTTTGGCTGAGGTGGATCTACTGGGTCAATATTCTGGGTTTATCGTTCAGCTCGATGATGGAGAATGAGTTTTCCAGGATTGATATGACTTGTACCGACGACTCTTTGGTTCCTGCTGGTCCCGAGTACACCGACATCAACCACCAGGTCTGCACGCTTCCCGGTTCGACGCCCGGCACCAAGTTCATCTCCGGCAAGGATTACATCTCGCAAGGCTTCTCCTACAACGCCAGCGATCTGTGGAGAAACTGGGGAATTGTCATGGCACTGATCATCTTCTTCCTTATCATGAACGTCGTTCTAGGCGAGATCATGGACTTCAGCGGCGGAGGCAGTCTTGCCAAGGTCTTCCAGCGGCCCAACGCAGAGCGTAAGAAACTCAACGCGGCACTGAAAGAGAAGCGCGATGCCCGACGCAAGGCCCGGAAGGAGCACGAAGGTTCGGACCTTAAGATCAACTCGGAGAGCATTCTTACCTGGGAGAACCTTACCTACGACGTCCCTGTGCCCGGTGGCACTCGCCGCCTTCTCAACGATGTCTTCGGATACGTCAAGCCAGGCCAGCTCACTGCCCTTATGGGCGCTTCGGGAGCCGGTAAGACTACCCTTTTGGATGTCCTTGCTGCGAGAAAGAACATCGGCGTTATTGGTGGCGATATTCTCGTTGATGGCATCAAGCCCGGTAAGGAATTCCAGCGCAGCACATCTTATGCCGAACAGCTCGATGTACATGACCCATCGCAGACCGTTCGCGAAGCCCTTCGGTTCTCGGCCGACCTTCGCCAGCCTTTCGACACCCCCCGGGAGGAGAAGTATGCCTACGTTGAGGAGATCATCTCCCTCTTGGAAATGGAGACCTTTGCCGACGCCATTGTGGGCTCCCCCGAGGCTGGTTTGACCGTCGAACAACGAAAGCGAGTCACGATTGGTGTTGAGCTTGCCGCCCGCCCTCAACTGCTCCTGTTCCTGGATGAGCCTACCTCAGGCCTTGATAGCCAGAGCGCCTTCAATATCGTCCGTTTCCTGAAGAAACTTGCCGCCGCTGGCCAAGCCATTCTCTGCACCATCCACCAGCCCAACGCTGCCCTATTCGAGAACTTCGACCGTCTGCTTCTCCTCAAGTCCGGCGGCCGCTGCGTCTACTTCGGTGACATCGGCAACGATGCCTGCGTGTTGAGCGACTACCTCAGACGTCATGGTGCCGAGCCCAAGGCGACCGATAACGTTGCCGAGTTCATGCTCGAAGCTATCGGCGCCGGCTCTTCTCCCCGTATCGGTAACCGTGACTGGGCCGATATCTGGGCCGACTCGCCTGAGCTCGCCAATGTCAAGGACACCATCCTGCAGATGAAGGAAGCCCGCAAGAGCGCAGGCGAGCAAGTCAACCACGACCTGGAGCGCGAGTACGCTTCTCCCCTTTGGCACCAGCTCAAGGTCGTCACGCACCGTACCAACCTCGCCCTGTGGCGCTCGCCCAATTACCTCTTCACCCGCGTCTTCTCCCATGCCGTGATCGCGCTCATCACCGGCTTGACCTTCCTCAACCTTGACTTGTCTCGCGAATCGCTCCAGTACAAGGTGTTCGTCTGCTTCCAGGTCACCGTCCTCCCCGCCATCGTCATCTCTCAGGTCGAAGTCATGTACCACATCAAGCGCACCATCTTCTTCCGCGAGCAGTCGTCCAAGATGTACAACTCCTTCACGTTTGCGGCGTCGATGGTCATTGCCGAGATGCCCTACAACATCCTCTGCGCCGTCATCTTCTTCGTGTTTGTGTACTACATGCCCGGCCTGTCTCACGAATCTTCCCGCGCGGGCTACCAGTTCTTCATGGTGCTCATCACCGAGGTCTTCTCCGTCACCATGGCGCAGTGCCTGTCCGCTCTCACCCCGACCGTCTTCATCTCCTCGCAGTTCGACCCCTTCATCATGATCACCTTCGCCCTCTTCTGCGGCGTCACCATCCCGGCCCCGCAGATGCCCAAGTTCTGGCGCAAGTGGCTGTACGAGCTCAACCCTTTTACTCGCCTCATCAGCGGCATGGTGGTCACCGAACTCCACGAATTACCCGTCATCTGCAAGGATTACGAACTCCAGAGCTTTTCTGCTCCGGACGGACAATCCTGCGGCGACTACATGGAACCCTTCTTCAGCAGAGGAGGCGCGGGATACTTGGTCAACAACGCGACCAGCGCGTGCCAGTATTGCGCGTATAAAGTGGGTGATCAGTTTTACGAGCCGCTGGGCATCACCTTCAATAACAGGTGGAGGGACTTGGGCATTTTCTTGGCTTTTATTGGCAGTAACTTGATTATTTTGTTTGTGGCGGTAAGTTTTTTTTGTTCCCACTCTGGTTTCTAACCTCAAGGTGTATGTGCCAAGGAGCATGTTGCTGACTGGTTTATCTTCACAGAGCCGATACCTCAACTTTAACAGGCGTTAAGCCACCTCGCCCTGGGCTTGCCAGATGGTGATCGGGTCTACGGACACACAAGCGGCCAGAACTGCGCAAGCATCTCAACCTTGGATGCCAACAGCCTTCTGTTACTCTCAACGGAAAAGCGTTTCTCGTACTTCTCAAACAACCTGCACTGCATTATACCCCTTTCTCTCTCTTTTCAACTTCTCACCGAGGGTTTTCGAAAAACGACTCAATCGACTTTTTACCGTATCAACAGCGTTTTTGTAATGATGGGATCTGTCAACATATAGATGGACTACACACATAGAATTGGGGTTCACTCAGTGAACCGGCGGAGGACAAAAAGCCACGCTTTTTGGGGTGTTTGGAAACACACAGCGAAACGGGGATCTTGGGATGAAGGTGGTGGAATTTGATGGATGTTGTGGAGGCAAAATTGTATGGAAGTGGTGGATGATGTTATTTGACGCAGATGAAGCAGTGTAGATAATGACGGATGCGGTATGTATGCATGATCATGAAGAGGAATATACGAATCCTAGAAAACTTTTTGCATAAATACTATCAGGGTGTGAACTTGGTTGAACTCGGTTGAACTGTTTCTCCTTTCTACAAGAAGTCTTGAAAGAAGTTGCCAGCGTAGAGAATGGAACGACTGTTCAAGTTCATTTCGACGGCAAGATGGTTTTTGGTTAGGCAAAAGCTAAGTACAGGAACGCTCCAAAAGTCCAGGTATATACGCCCTTCCTTATTGACCTATTCGTCATCTCCGAGGTCGAAATAGTCCTTTGCTCCAGTTGAAGAGTTCGAGATTTTATCTACATGGAGTATCTTTTACCCCAGCCTCCGTATTCACCCAGACCTCACTCCTTCTCAGGTGAAGCACAGTGTACCTCGACTCGACCATCTCCCTGGTCCCAGTCAATGATCTCTCTGGGATCCACCGGGACTGTGTGTAAGACCTACCAGCCACATCAGGTTCAGAAGTACTTAGACGGAATAGGGAAGAACTTGGGTGTCTCCGTCTTCCACTTCTTGTACTTCCTGTCCTCGCCATACAACTTGTTGTACTTCCTCTCAGCATAAGGCACACCAGTGACCTTCAGCATCAAAAAAGTGACAAACGCAGGGCCGACTGTGCAGAAGAACACGACTGAAATGATACTCATAGGAGAGGAATTGGCGGCAGACAGAGACTTCCGAGCGTCTCCCTGAAGAAGAATATTGAGAGTAACGGTAGCGATGCCTACCCAGAGCATGGACTCGCCAAAGTAGTTTGGGAATTGGCTATGGTAAACTTGGATTAGTAACAGGGAAAGTGGGTGGGGGAGTAAAAAGTCAATGACGTACCACTCAGACCACAAGCCACTGGTCAGGAACTTCTCGTCGTGAATCTTGTCCTGTTTCTCCTGCTGCCACTTGCTCTTCTGGTAGTCGGCAACGACTTCCAGCACGAAGCCGACGACCCACAACCCAAATCCGAAGAAGTCCGCAAGCTTGGGCTCTTGAACAGAAGGAACGCCGGAGGGAATTGCGTTGATGGCAATAATGGGCAGCATGCAAAAGGTGACCCAGGTAGCCTGGCCGATAAAGGCCCTGAGGTAGCGGCGCGGGTTGATGCGGATCTTGGTGAATCGGTGGTCATGACCTTCGCGGAGGATACGGCGGAAGAGATAAACACCCACTAAGTTGTGGTTCGAGTATCAGCAGAGTGTCTTCGTTGATAAGTTGGGGATAGCCACTGTTTCTTGTCACTATTCTCAGCTCGAAAGTCACTTACGTCTCACAGCCCAAATAACAACGGCACCGCTCAGGGCAAGCTGTCTCCAGTTATAATCAATCGCGAGAGGGGTGCCAGCAGCGATGTCCTGAACAATGCTGGATCTCTTGAAGGGTGCCATCAAGAGGCCTCCCCATCCAGGCTCAGTTCCGGTGACTTTCTCAACACCCTCCTTGATGGTATCGGCAACTTGACCAAGGTTTTCCGCCCCATACATAGCCCTGATGGCAGGAAAGTAGAGGCTGAGGAGGGTGACGATGAGGAACGTCGACAGTCCCGAGGCGTCGAAGAAGCGGTCGGACTTGTAGATGACTGACGGGATTGCGACAAGAATCTGTATCGCGTAGGCGACCATGATGCATGGCCAGACATTCCGCGCGAGGGGACTGGCAAAGTTGGTCATCTCGAGGAAGGACTGAATAATGGCCATCTTTGCGAGTGTGACCTGTGGTCCTGGTGCTGTTGGAATGGTAGTTCTGCTGTTGAATAATGGCAGGGAGATTCGTCGCGATACGTTCAGAATAAGGCAAAGGAAGGACGGGTGAGGGGGTTGGCGTGGAGGTGAGGAGAAAGAAGTGGTCCCGGTAGTGGTTGAAGACTGGGAAAAAGACTGGGTCAAGTTGCAAAAGGGAAACCGCGGGGCCTTTTTAAAGACGGATCGGAAGGGAAAATTTTCAATCAAAGAGCCTGCCCTTCACCGAGAGAATTGGAGTGAAGTGATTGCAGCTTCCTCGGAGGGGGACGAGACAAAGAGAGAAAGTGGACCGCCGGGAGTCGGAGTGAATGGTCCTTTAGTTCGTCCCGTGAGGTACTCGTAAACCTTTTTCAAACGAAGTGCTCCTTCCTTTCTGCGTGGGATTTGAGACTAGGCGAGGAAGGGACTGCCTCCGTTGGGATCAGCAGGTCAAAGCTGCCTTATCTGAGGTTGACTTAACGCATGGTGCGGTATAGACTTGGGACTATGAGCTCATCGGTTGGAGGAGGGCGGACTTTGCCTTTCGTATTGTCTTCGAAAGCAATGGCTGGCATCACGACTGGTGGTATTCGGTTCGAGATTTGGTGAGATGACCGTTGAGGTAGTTTCAACCCTAAGTCATCTCGGGAGAAGAACCTTAGAAAGATGGAACTTGCTCAAGGTTGAGTGGTAAGTAAGCATGTGAGCCCAAGAATAGCTGACCCTCGCCTGTTTTCGTTTGCTGGCATTTTGCATTTTATATCTAGGAGCCATCAACGTGTCTTTTTAACTTTAGTGACCCCTGCGGTGATCCGTCGGAACCTCTACTATTCGGGCATGGGCTGCCTCGTCTCTCGGTTCTCAGGTTCCGGAGGCGTACACACTTTTTAAAAGGACCCGCAGGCTATCCCAATTTGGTTTTCGCATCAAGGATAAATGGTAGGAGGACTTGAGGTTTTGATGTTTATGCCCGGGGCTGGCTTACCATGTTGGCGGCTATTGTTGGGTTTGTACCACCCCGAAACACGCCACGGGAAAATACCGTACGCAAGCTTGATAACACCTTCGTGGCCGCGGCACTTGGCACCAGTCATAGCGCGTACCGTGACTATGGTAAGTTCGTGGGTAGGATGAGATGCTAGATAGGTAGATATTGAGAAGGGTATCAATATCTGCTGTGAAGCACAATCATGGATGCTGCAATAGGACAAGTCCGGCTTTGAAATTCTAGGACGACATCTTCTGTCGTTGTTCCCATCCGGCCAAGCTGCCACCACGCACAGGACCATGTAAACATGTCGTGCCAGCATCGGCCCCGGATTCAAGGCAGCAAAGGCCTGGATGTATGGTGTAACATGAGCGGAGTGAAGATATAGACTTCCGTCGGAGTGTGACACATTGGGCTGGGTAACGGTGTTACATGACAAATGTCTACTATAGAAAACAATGTGAGTGAAAAATGAACCACTCGTCATGGGTATCATAAAGGTATAAAACAATGCTCAAGCCGCCTATCTACTAGCGCCATCTCGCTGCCTTTTATGTCCTCTAAAACAGAATTTTAGCTACGCACCCCAGTTCTCTCACTCTTCCTCAGCCCTGGTCTGAACGGTCACGGGTAGGCCGCCCTCCATAGGAAGTGTCAGACTCGTCTTGCTTGTCCTTTCCTCGTTGCTAGAAGGGACGAAGTCAAACAGGCAGGCCATGGTCGGGATGACCTGTGCAGCAATGGCTTCTGCCATCTTCCTTCCCAGACATGTCCTCGGTCCGCCGTAGAAGACTGGAAACTCGGACGCGTTCCTTGATATCAGCTTGTTATTCCCGTCAAGGAATCGTTCTGGCTTGAACTCGTCGGCATCATCACCCCATGTGAGCTTTGATCGCTGCATTGCCCACAAGCACCATACCAAGATCGAGCTCTTGGGGAGGAAGGTGCCATCAGGAAGCGTTACGTCTTCGTTGCACTGTCTGATCTCAAAGGGGATAGGCGGATAGATACGAAGGACCTCGTAGAACACCGCCATGCTGTAGGGCATGGTGACGGGGTTGAAAAGCGAGGAGTCGAACTGGTCTTGGGCGAGCGCAACGTCCTTGTCTTTCAGCAGTTGCGCAGCTTCCTCGCGGATCTTGGCAACGACTCTGGGATGTCTCATCAAGAGGTAGAAGGTCCACGTCAAGGCTTGACCGGTCGTGTCTCTGCCGGCAGAGAGGTAGGTTAAGGCAGCATCGGCTACCATTTGCTCGTCCTGGATGGCATCGAGTAGGGACTGGATAAGACTGCCCGATATTTGATCAAGCTTTTCCTCTTCCTCCCCGAACCCTTTTTCGTGGGAATTTTGGTTTTGGCGGTCTTGTACGGCCTTGGTGACGATACGTCTCCCGAAGTCCTTCACGACGGCAATGGACTTTCGAAGTTTTGCGCCCAGGAAGATTTCGGTCACAAACCACAGGGGATTCTGGAATCGCTCAGCAGTGCCGCCTGAGGCGTGGTCAAATGATACGGTAAACTCGTCGTCTGCTTGCATTTTCATCTGGACATATGTTAGTCTTGACGGGCTTTTTCCAAAACCAAACATGCTTGATCACTCACATTATACGCCATCTTGCCCATCAGTTTGGTGGTAATCTCATGGAAGACATGCTGTAGGTCGACCACGGTACCATTGGTGCTTGACCTAAGTTGGGCAATGCTTTCTGAGAGATACTGGGGAAGTGCGACATCTGTAAGAACTCGCAAGTTGGCGGTGTTGAGAAAGCTGAGACCTGCTTTTCTTTGGACTTTCCAAAAGTCGCCCTCGGCGTTGATGATGCCGTTGCCAAAGAGATCCCAGGTTCGGCCTTTGACGAAATTGCCCTTGGTAAAAACTCCCTCATTCTTGAACACAAAGTCCAAGTTCCGAGGGTCATGAATGAGCACTCCAGGAGGTAGGGTGGGAACAGAGAGAGCGACTGTCTCGTAACCAAACTTGCGCTGGCAGGCGTCGAACCAACTGAAGAGTTTCCATCTGGACTGAAGGAACTGGAGACCATTTCCCACAAGAGGTAAGGTGTTGGGCGGTATTCTGCAATACTGTTAGAATCGTGATGTGAGGTGAAGCAGGGAATATTTGTGACCAGTCTGCTCACTTTAGACGCTCTCCGTTCCTCCTGATGGTGTTCCAGTGGCTAAGGACAAAAGCGCGTATCAGGAAGGCAACGAGAGCGATAGCAAGGGCGTAGTGCGCCTTCTCATGAATGATGCCCATGGTAGGATCTAGGTATGGTGGTTACTGTCGTAGCTAGGAAGGGTTCATGGGCTCTTCTGGGATAACGAGCCAGGTAGGTGGATAATCGGACCGCGACTCGTCAAGGAACGTAACAGCGAGTTGCCGTTGGCGATGGTTGTGACTGTCTACGAACGAGCGACAAGTTTCGAGGATATGAAGGGCGTGGCGTTCCAGTCGCTCACAAAAATGTGTTAATACATGGCCACAGAATCAACTAAAAGCCCGTTTATCTCGTTCGTTCGTGGAAAAGAAAGTTGGCGGAAGCAGCGAAGAGAGGTTGGGGGTTTCATTCATGGACGGAAAGACAATCAGGCCGCGGCGCAACCTACCCAAACTCGTAAGATCAAGAAAAATCCCAACTGCCCTGTGAACCCTTGCAGGCGATTTGCAGCGTCCCGAAAACAATCCAATGCGTTCATCCCAGCTGAACCCTCGATAGCGGCTTGCCCCGCTGTTGCACCAGATCGTGCAAAGAGGTGTTCTAATCGACTAACGAGACAGTGCTTGCTATGTATCGGTAGTGAGTGTTAGTGTAGCATCTGAAACAAGCGGTGTTTCCATGACCGTGTGTTAGAGTTCTCTCTGCGCACAATCGTGCCATGGCTGCAAACCATTCCTTCCTCAAACAGTTTGCTTGTGAAATCAGCACACTTCCAGAGGTCTAGATACGCCCATAAGCAATGGAAGGATTACATCTTGACATGAAGAAGCAAGTGTATATCTGGTTTTACATAGCCAACACACCCTATGCCAAAAGCTTTCACTGCGCAAAACTCCAAACTGGTTGGTTATAGCCGAAACTTTAAATCACATTGCGCTAACCGAGATAAGGAAAGATGCGCTGTTCCTTTACTCAATGCTCTCGGTACCTGCGCATGCGGGTCAAGAGACGAGGGTGTCCCATCCAACCTCGATTGAGCTTTGGATAAAGTTCGCTGGAGACCATTGACATCATCAGCTCCGTCGCCCTTTCACATGCCTTGGACTGGCAGGACGCGACAAAGCTGCCAAATTTGTTGAGAATAACCCGCAAAGAGATGAGTAACTATACGCGTTGATGTCAATTCCACTTGATCTTTTTCTGTGACTTTATACAGCATCAATTGGGCTGGAAGGAAGCTCCAACTTGAGGTGTAGAGAGCTCTTGCATAGCTCCCGTTGGTGTGGAGACAGTTCTCCGCGTCGCTTCAACTTCTTCGTTGCCGTCATCTGCATGGACGTGCTTGGACTCATGCTCTACCGCAATCGATAACTGCCCAGGAAATTGCAAATTTTGTATCAAGCTGTTTCCATTCTTCTTCCTTTTGCCACTTGGAACATCAATATCACCCTAGAGAACAAAATCTTTCCTTCAACAGTTTAGAGGTAGAGACACACAAGATAAGATGGCGCCTCTACTCCCCCGCATGCATCTGTTCGAGATCGACGACCAGCCGTGGTAAGCTCCGTCAACTACATTGAAGAG